ATTTCATTTATATCTCAGGTTCAGTGCTTCTTCATTGAGCCTGCCTTGGACTTGGAAAGCCTGCAGAGGGGATCAGTTCAGTTGGCAATTGAGGGTGGTTTCCAGCTCTTTCCTGTGGCGAACAATGCTGTGGTGCTATCTTTGGAGGTAGAGAGAGAATAAGTTGAACACCGATGCTAGAGGTTTGGATCTCAGCTCTGGTTTGTTTTATTTTATTAATAATTGTATTTTATCCCTTTGCCCCCACAGTCACCCTCTCCCTATATATAAAAACTTTGTTTCCATTTTTTCCTCTATTTTCACTTTTTTCTTTTCCCTTCCTTTCTTTCTCCCTCCTCCCTTGTTCCCTTCCCATTTTAACGTTTTTCTTCCCATTTCCCAACATCCATTATATAGCTCAGTGCTTTTTCCACATTCATTTTCTCACACCAGAGAAACAATGTGGTATTTAAACACATGTCTGATTTATTTCACTTAAGAGTATGGTTTCAAGGTCCATCCATTTAGCTAGAAGTATTCCGTTGTATAAAAAAATTCCACATCTTGGGCTGGAGATTTAGCTCAATGGTGCTACCTCCTGCCTCACAAGTGCAAGGTCCTGAATTTGATCCCTGGTACAAAAAATAAAAATAAAACACACCTTTATCCACTCATCAGGTGATGGGCATTTGGGCTGTTTCCAAGATTTAGCTATTACAAACTGTGCTGGTATAAACGTGGGTGTGCATATATTGCTGTGGAGTGACGCTTTTAATTCTTTTGGGAAGATACCAAGGAAAGGATTAGCTGGGTCAAATAGAACCTCTAGTTTTAGGTTTTTGAGGTATCTCTACAGGGATTTCCACAGTGGTTTCACCAGTCTACCCTCCCATCAGCAGTGGAGAAGGGTTCCTTTTTCCCCCGACATCCCCTCCAGAGTTTGTTATTGGCTGATTTCTTTCTTTGTCTTTGGTACTGGGGATCGAACTCAGGCCCTTGTGCTTGTGAGGCAGGTGGCGGAACCACTGAGCCAAATCCCCGGCCTATAGGTTGTTTTCTTGATAGCAGCAATTCTTTCTGGAATGAGGTGGAAACTCAGCATTGTTTTAATTTGCATCTTCCAAATGACCAGTGATGTTGAACGTTTTTTCACATATTTATTTGCCATTTTAAATTCTTTATCTGAGAAGTGTCTTTCTATTTAAGATGCCTATTTTTGATTTGGTCTTTAAATTTGGAGGGGTCTGATATTTTTGGAGTTCCTTATATATTCTAAGTAATAGTCCTTTATCTGAATAGCTGGTAAAAATTTTTCCCACCCTGGGCTAACTCTTCTGTCTGTTGGTGGTTTCTCTTGCTGTGTAAAAGCTTTTTAATAAGATGAGGTCCCAGTTGTTGATTCTTTATAGTATTCTCCATGTGGTCTGGGTTTTGTTCATAAAGTATTTGCCTACTTCTGTGTCCTCAAGCATTCTTCCTATTCTCTCTTCCAGCAGATTTAGTTTCTTTTTTTAAAATTGAATTTATTGTTACATTCTAGGTATATAGTACAGTTCCATTCATTACTGGGATCTTGTACCTTTATGTGACAGGTCTTGGTTCTCATTTTTTCCTCTTGTCCCCACCCTCTCTTCACCTCCCCCTCCCTCCCTACCAACACTTTAATTCCATTTTTACATTTTCTCACATTTTTTCCCCTTTCTCTTATTCCCCTTCCCCTACCCTTCCCACTGTCCCTACACCTTTAGCCCTTTTCTTTCCTATTTCACATTGCTAATTATCCCATTAGGATCTTGAGTACTATTTTAGTATTTCACACCAGAGAAACTATTTGGTATTTACACGTGTGACTTATTTATTTCACTTAGGAGTATATCCTCAAAATATATCCATTTTCCTTTGAATGAATCTACTTTCTCATTCTTTATGGCTGAGTAGTATTCCATTTTATAGAAAAACCACATCTTTATCCAGTTTCCAACTGATGGGCAAATAGCCTGTTTCCATGTTTTAGCTATTACAAACTGTGCTGCTATAAACATAGCTGCACATATGTCAGTGTGATATGATTCTTTTAATTCTTTTGTAAAGATACCCAGCAGAGGGATGGGATGACTGGGTCAAATGGAACCTCTAGTCCCAGCTCTTTGAGGTATCTCCTTATTGATTTCCATAGTGGTTGCACCAGTCTGCACTCCCACCAACAATGGAGAAGGGTTCCTTTCTCCCCACAACCCCACCAACATTTGTTATTGTGTGATTTCTTGATAGCAGCCATTCTTTGTGGGGTGAGGTGTAATCTCAGTGTTGTTTTCAGCAGCAGATTTAGTTTCTTAACTTATGGGCAGCTGATTATAGTTTAGGAAGTCTTGAGATTTTTGGCTCCTAATGCATATATAAATAAAAATATGTTTTGGCTTTTTTTTCCTGAGTTTATTGGTATAATCTAGGTATACAATACAGTTACATTCATTATTGGGATCCTGTACCTTTACATGATTATTCTTGATTCTCATTTTTTCCCCTTGTCCCTGCCCTCCTTTCACCCCCTCCCCCCTCCCCATTTACAAACACTTTATTTCCATTTTTTCAATTTCTCATATTTTTTCCTCTCCCTTATTACCTTTCCCCCAACCTTCCCACTTTCCCTACACCTTTAGCCCTTTACTTCCTATTTCACATTATTAATTATCTCATTAGGATCCTGTGTACTATTATAGTGTTTCACACCAGAGAAACTATTCGGTGTTTCAGTTAAAGAAATCTCTGTATGAACATTAAAAATAGGGAATCCTAAAATAAAACTAAAAAGTAAAGTAAAAGAGAACAGGCAATGATGTAAGATTAAAATAATCCTTAATTCTGGAGATGAAAATGGTCCCTGAACATATTTAAATTGCTTCTTGCTCTTGTAGTTTTATTGTTTTTTTTATTAGAGAATACTTTATTAGTTTCTGTAATCAAACTCATGTAGATATGACCTTACATATTTAATACAGTGCATTACCCCTGTACAAATGGAAAAAAAAAATAACATTTCTAGACCAATATGGCTGTCAATTTCTGTACAATGCCGACTCAACACAGTAAATTGGGTTAACTTTTTCCAAAGTTGACAGCACAGTTAGTTTCCAAAAATTCAAATTATATATATGTATGTATGTGTGTGTGTGTGTGTGTGTGTGTGTGTGTGTGTGTGTGTATATATATATATTTATTTATATAAAAAGACCAAGAATAGGAGTATGTTATGCATCAATAGCAGCAACAGCTTCTCCAGGTTCTGCAGTCATCGGAACAAAGACATTCAGCACATTCCATTAAAAAACCAAAAAAAACCCACCCCCCCAAAAAAAACAAAGAAAAGAATAATATCCAGATAACAGCAAAGTTCTGTTGCTGTTGTGGTACCTGGTACCAAACCAGCACTACAGGCAATTCTAAACAAGATCCTAGAAAAAGACAAGGCAACAATACCATGAGGCCCAACAAATCAAATAGGCAAGACAAGAAACTAAAAGGAGAAGGTGAAAAAGTAAAAAGAGTCAACAAAAGGCCAATAACATGACAATAATAAGTCAGTACCTATCAGTTATAACCATCAATGTCAATGGCCTCAACTCACCAATCAAGAGAAATAGACTGGCAAAATGGAATAAGAAGCAAAATCCCACAATATGTTGTATACAAGGAACATACCTAGTGCAAAAAGAAGCACATAGACTGAAAGTGAAAGGATGGAAAACAATTCTCCATGGGACATGAGCCCAGAAAAAAGCAGGGGTAGCAATCTTATTTGCAGACAAAGCAAATTTCAAACCAAAATTGATTCTAGTATTATAGATGTAGGACGGTACTGTATCATACCTCTATGAATGTAAAATATCTTGTACCTGCTTTATGATACGTAGTAGTGACCATGCTTTATCAGAGCTATTTTTAAAGATACTACTCTAGACTGTTCTCTTTCCAGATGATGATTAAGATGCTAATAAAAAAATATGTATTTCAAGATATGTTGAACTTTGATTAGTGTGTTCGCAATGGGCCATAGTTCGTGTGTCTCACTGCCATGTAGTGTGAATGACTGCTGGTATGTGCATGACTGTCCTGTGAGTGACTGCACCATTCCCACCTCTAGTGGTACAAGCTGCCTGATGGGACAGTCATGAATTTACCGGTGGTTCAAGCTGGTGGGGATGTGTTAACAATAATGATGGCAACAGTAATAATAATTGTGACCATCATTACAAGTACTTACTAGTTAACAGCATGATACTGTATTTATAAGTGCTTTCAGATCAATAACACTAGTAATTCCATCTGTTGTATAACAGTTGACAGCAATTTTACGTGTGTTGCTAATTGTTTCTCACAGCAACTCTGGAATAGGTGGAATAGATAGTTTTATTTCAGTATATCAATTGGAAAAGGTCATTTGCTAAAAATTGTGTAGCTAGTAAACAATAGAGCCAGACTTGAATTTAATTTACTTTAAAAATCCACATATGAGTGAATTATGTGTTCCTGGGCACCAGTGGTTCTTAATTGAGATGATTTTGTTCCGTAGGGGACATTTGACAGTATTTGGGGACATTTTTGGCTGTCATTACTGGCGAGGGGAAATCTTACTGGCATCCTGGGGAAAGAAGCTTCAAAGGCAGTTAACCCTCCTGTAATGTCCATGAACGTCCTTCACTACAGATTACTCCACTCAGCCAGGAGTGCTGAGGTCGAGAAATGGTGATCACTGATGTCATAGAACAAAGACTAGATTTTGCTGGGTGAGATTTTTCTGATAAACATCATATTTACTCCAAACTTCAGTTTGTCCAAATCATAGTTTCTCTTAGATTCAAGACTTAAAACGCAGCAATAATTTCCAATCCAAATTTATGGACCAGATCAAGAGGTGAAGACATGATGATAGAAGTCTGAGGTGAAATCTGATGCTTAGCAGGGAAACTGTTGAAAAAGGAGGTGCTCAAAGGCCTTATGTTTATCGTTCTTTTCTTCCTTAGGTTGTTTCCCAGGGGGTGTGCATTGGGTTTCGATTGGAAAACAAGACAAATCTGGGCTTCTGATGAAACTGCAGAATCTTTGCACACGGTTGGATCAGGATGAGAGTTTCTCCCAGAGGCTTCCTCTTAATATTGAAGAGGCCAAAGACCGACTCCGCATTCTGATGCTGCACAAACACCCGAGGTACAGGTGGTCTCCTTCAGCAGGGGTAGGAGACTTCACTATGGACATCCTGAGAACATCATGCCCCTTTCCTGCTGTTCTGTAGAGGGGGCGAAAAAAGAGCCATTGCTTTCCTGCTGCCCCCTCTCTCTTGTATTAAAAAAGGTAGTAAAGGGCCGGGGATTTAGCTCAGTGGTTCTGCTGCCTACCTCCCAAGTGCAAGGTCCTGAGTTCAATCCCAGGTACCAAAAAAAAAAAAACAAACAAACCCCCAAAACCGTAGTAGCTGCTACTTGCCCTGAAATTGTCACTTCTTTCCTTTTTTGCATTCTGCTCACTACATTATCTCATATGTACCATTGTAGGATCTCAAGATATGTATCTTCTGTAGGTGGGTTGGCAGGTGGTCCTTGTTTGAATAGTATATACTTCCTACTTTGAGTCCACTGTTTCTGATGCATTAACTTAGACCAAGAAAAAAAAAAAATCAAGGTTTGCACCTGGTGAAAGACATGGAAGAAGGCTTTCTAATGGGATCATTTTGTTTTTTTGGTTTTTTTTTTTTT